TCTGTCTTTGCTGCCTTGGGAGGTTTGGAGAAGCAGCTTGGAAGGAGGCAGAGGGGAGGGGAGCCAGCTAGACTGTGGGAGGGGTCGGGGAAGTTACTCCTCCGGCTGGGGTCTGGCTCTAGAAGGCCAGTCTCCTGTTTCCCCCTTGATGCCTGTTTGGAACCCACCTCAGCTCCCCTTCCGTGGCCGCTACAGTAGGGTTTGAATAGACTGAGATGGCAGCTCAGCGGAAACACCGATCATTTCTGAAGTCAGCGAACTTCTGCATGTAACACCCACCTCTCATCCAGCCTGCTTCCCCTACCTTCTCTGTCCTCATTCCTCAGGCTAAGAAATCAACAAGGTCCACAGTCTCATATCCACACTGGCTGTGGCTGCAGTCCCTAGCAGAGTTCCAAAGGACTGGTGCTGCATATTTTTTAATCTTCAGTCAGAGACACTGAGGAGAAGGACTCAGGTCCAAAGAACAGGTCACACCTGGGATTCTAGTGGTTTAAAGTGGAGCAGCTGCTGAGGGCTGATGAGGTGTTAGAGGCTCTACTCCCAGTCATTGTGGAGGGCTGTCCATTGCATCTCTTAGGCCCTTCCTTCAAATGCCTTCCATCCTAGATGATCTTTGTATGGCTGGCTCCTGAAACTTCAAACTCATAACCACTTCTTCAAGGGCTTATGGATGGTACCTGCTGCCATTTCTGCACCCTGCATGTGACTCATAGGTCTTGCAGATCCCAGGAAAGGGCCCAGACCCAAGGAGTCAGAAAGAGTCTGCTCTTTCTACAAGCTGGATCTGGCTCCCCCAGACAGAAAGGGGCTCTGGTAAGGCTAGCTTCCACCTCCTGTCCCTCTCCTGCCTAATTAATTCTAAAAATAGTGTGAGTCTACAGGATGAGGTAACTTGCATAGGAACACCATGCAAATTAGCACTCAAGCTTGTGCCAAAATCTGTGTCCCTGACTATTGTTGCTGCAGCCCCAAGATAGGGTGAATCGAAGGTAGATCAGGTAGATCAAGGTAGGTCATGACTAGGAATTTTAATTTCTAAACTTCCCGAGGATGGAGCATTACCAGATGCTAGAAGATGAACCTCAAACACTATCTTAACTTCCACTCCTCCCTCTGTTCTCTAAAAAGGCTCCCCTGATATTTTTTTAAGGCATGGATTATTCTAGGGTTATCGGCGTTGCTCTCCTGAAAAAAAAAATCCCAAAATACATCATCTCAAATAAGAGCTTATTTCTCTTCCATGAAACAGTCAAGTTCCTCTGCTCCACGGGACCATTCAGGAACCCAGGCTCCTTCCATCATGTTTCTCCACCATCTCCTTGGACATCATCCTCTGCATGACCCAGGTTGGGCTGCAGCCATATCCTGGCTCTGGCTCACGGGAGAAGGAGCACTGGCCAGGGAAAGGCGCATCTCACCTCCCCCCAGATGCCACTAGAGGACTAACTCACATGGAGAAGTGAGCTGTCAAGGAGGTTGGGGAATGCAAGCCCACCACCTTTCTATTACTCTAGAAGAAAAGGCATGGGCTTTTGGGATGGTTAAAAAACCTGTGCCACAGGGCTCAATAAAGAGTTTAGAAGTTGTGCATCCTATTTTATTTTTCTAGAGGTTAATTTTTCTAACAATTATTTTTGGATAGGTAATGTATAGACAATCTATACAATTCTAAAAATCTATTTAAAAGGTAGAGAATAAAAAGCAAGGCTCCCTTTCCAGGCCCTCAATTGCCTACTTTTCTCTTGAACAACCATTCATTTCTTCTACATCCTGTCAGAAAGAGCTGCATACATTTCTCCTTTTTCTCTAAATGCTAATGATAACTCCAGGGAAATTCACTTGGCATGGTTGTAATAACCAAAGATCAGACAGTCACTAAAGGCAAATATTAAATGATTCTGCTTATGTGAAGTGTCTAGAGTGGTCAAATTTACAGGGACACAAAGTAGGATAGTGGCTGACTGGGGAGTTGGGGTGCCAGGGAAGGATGGTGGGGATGCCTGTACCACCTTGTAAATGTACTTAATGTACAGAAGTGCCATTTAAACATGGTTAAAATGGAACATTTTTATGTTATGTATATTTTACCACAATAAAAAATAAAGATGGGAAGTAGCCTGAAAGTCCACTAGTGAGGTCTAGTTTATATTATATTCATTTGAGATTTCTGTTAGAAAGAATGAGTGCTGTCAGTATTCTCTGCACACTGACCAGGGGAGATCTCGAAATATATTGCATTCCTGCAGTGGCAGGAAACTGTGCAGAGGCCTGTGAGCACTTAGGGACAGTGCTTCCGGTAGTTAAGACTTGAGCTGAAATCTCAGTGTGGTTCAAATACCACTGCTACTTTGGGACTTTGGGCGTCTCACTTAGCCTGCTAGGCCTCAGTCTCCCTATCTGTAAAATGGGCGCTCTATTAGTCCCTGCTTGATAGGGTGGTTGAGATTAAACAGGTTAATATGCCAAAGCCCTTAGAAGAGTATCTGACACATAATCCTTGTTCACAAAAGGTGAGTGAGTTAATGAACGAGGATGAGTGGGTCAGAGATTGTGAGCTGTAGTTCTGGTTATGTCTCTGAGACCTTAGATGTGGCTCCCAGCTTTGGTTTTCTTTCTATTCTATGGAAACAGGTTTCTGAGAGTCCGAATCGAATAGTTAAGGGGAGGGAAGGTGCTCAGCAAAATAGAAAAGTGTGAATTTGTCATGTGCGGCTGCACCACTGTTCTTACCTGTGGCACTAGCCTGCCAGGCCCACTTGCATGGTGTTGTCATTGGGAGCTGGGGACAATGTCTGTGAGCTCTGGGTTCCTGGCATTGCCTGCTGACACCCCTTTGAGTTTCCGCCTTTCTGATCAGCCAGACTGACTCTGGTCATTGCTCCCTAGGTGGAGCTCGAGGAGACAGCCCATGAACTGGGGGACACTGATGTGGTCGTGGGTTACAAGTGTGGTGCTACTTAGAAGAACTTTGGCCTAAGGGGAGGCAGAAGTCCAGGAGCCCTTGCTGCAGGGCTGCAAAGGGGAGCCCTGGGCCCTCAGGGTGATGTCAGCCACGCCTTTCCTTCTCTGGTGCTGTAGGCAGTCGCCCTGTTTCCTGTTTCTTCTTTTTTCATTTCTTCCTTGTTTTGCAGAGGCACATCCTGCAGTAACTCGTTGGGAAAAGGTAATTGTGTCTATAGACAGGCATCGGGAGTGCACCCGCACCCGGGGCCTTGTTGCTGGTCTCTCCTTCATCAGCTCTTCATGCTTAGAGATGTGCTGCATCTACCATGTGTGTCAGGTCCCCAACCTTCCCTGTGGGGCTTTTCAACTTGCTGATTCTGTTCTAGTCCTTTCTTTAGGGTTTGGGAGGCAAGGGTGCTGCATGCATGTGTGCTCTGCCACGCCTGGCTAGACGTCAGTTGAGTCTTAGCTATTCTTCTATTTTAGATAATACTATTCCTCCACTCATCACTGAGCACCTGCTGTGTGCCTGGCCATGTGGGAGGTGCCAAGGGACAGTGCTGAAAGGCAAGCCTCTGCCTCTGCACCGGAAGTGGAAGGAACACAGAAGCAGAAGATTCTGGCGCGGGGTGGCCAGTTGGGGTGTCAGGATCTATGTGCAGAGTTTGGCGCTAGGACATTGCTAGAACTTGGGGGGGGGTGAGTTTCAGGGAGGTTACTTTCTGAGCAGCAGAGAACTGGTCTTTAATTGTTTTTTAAAAACCTCTTTGCTATTATGTTTTTCTGTACCTTCTTTGACCACTGTGATTCTGCATTTGGTTTTTCTCTCTCCAGTGCCCTTGGATCTCTAATTACCATTTAAAAAAAATCTTTCACCTCTAATATTCCGGGTCTGGAAGGGCAGATCATAAAATGTTTGAAATGTATATAAAATAAGTCCTAATGATTATATACTTATAGCAAGTGAAAGTTTGACTCTGCTGAGAGTAAGATCCATAAGTTTCATATACCAATTTCAGAACTGCTGTTTCTCTCCCCGGGATCTTCTGCAGTGTCACTCAGTCCCGATGACAACACCTTAGTAACTGAATCATAACGGAACTATTCCGCTATAAAACCTGAAAACTTCAGCTGCCTGCAAACCTTCCCTCTCACTGTGTTCTGTTCTTGCTCCATCCCAAATACCAGCCTTTGGTTTGCCCACAGTGTAAAGTTTTATTTACCATGCGTCTCGATTCTGAAAGGACTGTTTTGTTACATATCTTCAATGGGATGATTTTAGTTGATGGGGCCTTCGCATTATGTCATGGCTTTCTTAGTAGAGCATAACAGGGTGTCTTAAGATCAATGATGTCTTCAGTTCAATGAAGCACAATATTTGTATCATTTGAAGGAACCTACAAGTTGTTACTGTTTCTCCAGTCTGTCCCCAACCTGTGCTAGGGAGACTCAAGCCACTCGTTTAAAAGCATCTTTCTTGTCCCTACAACTTTCTCCTCACAACACTAGGAGTAAGAGTATCTAAGGCAGTGACCCCTCATAAGGCACTTACTCTGTAACCAGCCTGCTCCAGGCACTTTTCACCTACCCTCTTCGGCAACGTTAGTGGCGCAGTTATTGTCCCTACTTCACAGACGACACTGAGGCTTAAGAGGTAGAAGAGGCAAAAGCAGGCATCCAGGCAGTCTCTCTGGCTCTGAAAAAAGTCACGCTATACTGCCTCTAGTGCTTCTGGGAGACAACGCAAGTGACTCCATTTCAGTCAGTTCTTCCTGGGCTATGCCATTGTGTCGACTGGGGACTTTAGCAAAGTGCTGGGAGACTCTTCAAGTGCAGCCAGAGTAGAGACCCTGGTTTAAATGATCTATATGACATCCCCTAATGCTGCTGTTCTGGGACCCCAGGGCAGCTGCCAGACCAGGGGGACAATGACAGCTTGACTTTTGCCCTTTGGCACTATACCCATTGGCTAGAAACTGCTCCTTGAAACTGTCTCCTTGAGACATTAAACTGATAGGTGTTTTTCACTTTTGTTCTTTCTTCCTTCCTTCCAGCTCTGGAGTGCACAGAAGATCAAGCAGGTAACCCCACTTTGGACTTTCCTCTGTTCCTTCTGTGGTCTCCTGGACCTGTGCCCCCCACCCCCAGACCCAGGGATCCAGCTAAGCCCAGCCTCTCCCCACCTCTTTGCCCCTGGCCTCCTCCCTGTTCTTTCTCACCAGCACCGTGGCCTGTTGCTGAAGGTGGAAGCTCGTCCAACTGGCCTTTCCCTCACCTGCTGAGCTCCTTCCCTGTGACCTCCTTTCTCCAAGTCTGGTTACCTGCTCTTGGTCTGCTCTGTCAGCCCCGGGAGATGAAGGGCCTGCAGGAGAGACAGTTTGGCTCTTTCCTGCCTTCAGTTGTGTGAATCAGTTAGGAGAAATGTAGCTTGTCACGCACTCTGTTTTGTTTTCTCTGGCCCTGACTGGTGGGAAACAACTGACCAGCCAGAGGCAAGATTAGGCTCTAGGTCTCCCTGGAAGCGGCTGGGGTACTCTCCTGTCCTGCGTCACTCCCTCCTTACCCTTCCCCACCTCCTCCCTTACCCCACTGTCACCCTGTGCTTTGTTCTGGCCCTTGCCAGGCTATTCTACACCCGGACACCAATGAGAAGATCTTCATGCCCTTCAGAATGTCAGGTGAGCCCCTGGGATCCTTTCAGGTGTGCCAGCAAAGCCTCTTACTGCAGTCGGGCTCCAGAGCACCCCACTGTGCTGCCTGGGGAGGGGAGGAGCCTCTGACACCATGGCCACATCTGCACCTCGTGCTCACCTCGTGCAACCGCCTACAACTCTGGCCATGACTCGGAACCATGGAGCTGTACAAAATGTGTCAGCTGCCTCTTTGCCTGAGCAGTTGGGGGTGCAGAGGAGGTCTTCACAGGTGAATTGGTGCCTGTCCCCAGATTATATACTGCGCAGCAGCCTTGGGTGCCTCCTGCTACCAGCAAGCCCTGGCTCCACTCTGACCTGAGTGTTCTGCATTCTCCCCTTCCAAGTCCTGCTTCCTGCTCACCCTCTCAACCAGTTAACTCCCAGCTCACTCCCTGCTCTCTGATCCTGCTGTTAATTGAGCTGCCCTTCACAATATGCACACGGTGTTTGCTGCTGTGTGCACAGGAAGGCTCGATTCCCCTTCTCTGAAGACCAGTGAGCAGAGTGGGGGACATAAGATCCTGGTCCCCAGGAGTCCCGCTCAGTCACTAGAGGGCAGGTTCATCTGGGCTTAACAGCTTAGAGGCTCCTGGAGTGATGTGTCCTGCCTACCGTTCTGAAGGCATCCCTCCTGAGTTACAGGGTGAGGTGCCTTGCGAAGGCCGCAGGTGGATGTAGGAAGTGTCTGTGCCAGTGGGCGTTCTCCTCTAGTGGGTTAGTCAGGGTTCCCACACCCAAAGAGCCAGACCTCATGGGGGCCAGGGAATAAACAGCTGTGTGACATCATGATGCAAACTGGGGCAACCAGTGCCCAGGAGCCTCTGGTTTTGTTGAGAGGAGCAGCCAAGCCTCTAACTAAGCGTCTTGCAGCCATGACTGTGGATGCTCCCAGGCCCTGTAAGGCCAAAGCGAGCTCTCACTCTGAGCCTGGCTTCTCTTAATACCCTTCATCTTTTTGAGTCAAGCATTCCTCTGAGGCCCTGATCAGACTTCGGGCCCTGCCCCAGAGGGCTGCAGGGTTCACGTGATGTAGAGGTACGTACCCCACATTCAGGACTTGCATGTGCTTCAGCTGTAGCTCTAGTAACTGGTTCTCTGCTGTCTGGCCACCAGCTGACTGGCTGCCATAAGTTAGAATTTGGGGCAGAGGCTGCCCGCTGACAGCAGGGGAGCCTTGTGCAGTGTCGGGGCCATGAACAGAGGCACCTCCAGCCTGGCTGAGCTTCACTCTGGGCCTGCTGCTGTGCTGAGGACGTCTAGTCAGCATTGTAGAGATTCAAAGAGCTCTGGTACCTAAACGACACGTTTCAGGTGAATAGGGAATTTCCTTTCCAGAAATAGTCTCAATGCCAGGGAGGTAAGGGATTGTGCTGGAAAGACACAGCTGAGGGAAGGAGGACATTCCAGGCCTTCAGAGACGTGCAAAATTGTGTAGTGGATGTAGGCAGTGGCTGCTGCCTCACAGGGGAAATTGTTGGAGGAATGCCATACCAGCAGTGGGCAGTCCTGGCTTCAGGCCCTTTTGAGTGTGAGAACTGTGTGGTCAAAGGGCAACAGAAAGGGAACTTGGGAGACTCAGGGGAACACTGTGGCCTAGGGATGGCTGAGCTCAGAAAAGGCTGGGGACTGGAGGCGGCCTCTGTCTGAGCTGAGCACCTTCAGCTGGGCCATTGACAAGCCCAGATGTCACCTCTGGTATTTAAGTCGAGAGCTGGGCAGAGGAGGTGGGGTGAAAGTACAAGACCTGATTGTGTTTTTCCCCTCTCACAGGTTACATTCCTTTTGGGACACCAATTGTAAGTATTGCCTTCAAGAGATTTTCTTTTTTTGTTCTTATGTATTTGCCTGAGATACTGATTGAAGATAAATTCCTGGAGGAAAACTTTTGGGTAAAATAGAATATATTTCTTTTTTAATTCTCATATATTTATTTTTTAATTCTCTTGATGTGTATTGCCAACTTCTTTCCATAAAAAAATGCCAGTGTACATCTTATACAAAGGCTCAAAATACCATTATTCCTGCACTCTTTCCCATCAAATGTTGTCATTAGGACTTGCTGGCTACAGGGATGTTCCCCCCAAAGCTTAGGAAGTCAGAAAGCAAGGATACCTTCTGAAAACTAAAGTTTAAAGTGAACTCCTAAAGGATACCTTATTCTTTCTGTTCCATTTTGGAATCCAGATCAAATTTACTTAAATTTTTTCAATACTAGAGTAAAATAAATGTACAGAAAGTTGGAGTTATAAATGCTTAGCTAGATAAATCACAAAGTGAGTAGTCCATATAGACTTCACTTACATAAAGATTTAGTGCATTATCAAGCTCTCGTATGTTCCCCTCCCAGTTACTCCTCCTCCTACACAACCACTTTTCTGATTTCCTTTGCTATGTTCTATTTTTGTCTGGTATTGAACTTTAGATCAATAGAATCATTACTGTGCCCCTCCCTTTTTCCTTTGGTATGACTTCTTTCATTCAGAATTGTTTGTGAGTCATTCATAGTGTTTTATATATAGCATTTGTTTTTCCCTTTTTGTTGGTTTATAATATTCCATCATGGTAACTAAATAATATAAACATTCCTTTATCCATCTTTCTGTGGGTAAACATTTGGGCTGTATCTTATTTGGAACTCACAATGACCAGTGCTGCTTTGAACATGACTGTACAAGTCCTTTAGAGAGCATGTGTAATTAGAGGGACCCTTACTTTTGGATCAAACCTAGGAGGCTAAGACTTCCTGGTGGTGCAGGGGTTTAAGTCTCAATGCTCTCAAGCTATTGTGGACCACTGCGGCCTGAGTTCCATCCCTGGTAGGGAGTTGACGCACATGTGGCTCAGCAGACTTCTCCTGTTTCACCCTGCCTGCTGTTCTCTTCATCAGTGTATCTCAGTAGATCTACCTGTTCTGTTCCCTACTCTGTCTCTGGTGAATCCTCTCACTCTCCATACCCCTGGCCTATTCCCCAGTTCTTGTATGCATAGGTAAATAAAAATGAAGCTTTAAAAAAGAAAAATAAAACAAACAAGAAAATCTAGGACACTAAAAAGATAATAACTAAATGCAGTGTATGGTCCTAGAATCAGGAATGGCATTCCAGTGTAAGTATAGAATGATACTATAGTCTTACACACTTAAACATATGCTTGCTATATAAGTCAGCAATATTACCTTTAGATATTTACCTGAGAGAAATGACTACAAATGTCCACACAAAGATTTGTATGCAATTATGTACAGTAGCTTTTCATATAAGCTTAAAACTGGAAACAGACAAAAATGACCAGCAGATGTTAAAACTACTTTGTGAAAAAGCATGTTTGAAACAGTATAGTTACCAAGTCTCAAGTTTTCATACACACACACACACACACACACACACTCGTATGTGCATGGGTGTATATACCCATATATGTATACATACACACACACATATATTTATCACATTCCTTTTTTTGTTTATTAGCTGACACCTTCCTCTAAATAAATTTTACCTTCTGCCTCCCCCCTTTGATATTTAAAAAAACTGTCCATATTGTCTTGTGTACTTTTCATTTAAATTATAATAATTTATTTCTGTCATTTTTCATTTACATCTCTATATCTATATCTCTATATCTATACACATATACATATAGAGAGGGAGCCTAGTAAGATGAAATAGAGAATTTGAATAGACTTATGAGTAGAAATAAATTCAATCAATTGTTTAAAATGAATGTACCCAAAAAATCAACAAATAAGCCAAAAATTACCGTTAGGCTCTCATGATCTGTCAGGTGACTGTACTTATGGGGTGAGAAAACTTAATCTTTGTAAAACTGAAGAAGAATAAAAAGAGGGGATGTTCTCCCTTTCATTCATTTGAGATCAATACCAAAGAAGTAAATATAAGGAAGAAAAAGAATAGGCCAATATCACTTAGGAAGTTACACAAAATAGTCAAAATAAAGTAATAGTAAATTGAGTCCATTAATGCATCAAAATATATAATAATCAAGTTATTTTTACCAAAAAAGTAATGTTAGAGAATATTTTAATATAGTTTATCACATTAAAAAATTGAGGGAGAAGTGTGATCATCCCAGTAAATATCAAAAGAATCAGTTGTTAAAATAAAACATAAATCCTGGCCCTCCTTGGTGGCGCAGTGGGTTAAAGCACAGCACTAAAAAGCTAAAGCCACTTCAGCATGAGTTCGACCTTTGCCCTGGAGATGACTCACATGGCGCTGCAGACCTCTTCTGACCAGCCTGCTGCTCCCCTAAATAGTGTATATTGTCAGTTGGCCTGTTCTGCTCCCCGATCTCTCTGGTGAGTCCTCTCACTACCCCTGAGCCTCTCGCCTGTATCCCAGTTCTGTATGCATAAATAAATAAATCTTAAAAAAAAATCCATTTATAATTAAAAAGAGAGAATGGAAAAAAAAAGAGAGAGTCAAGAGTAGATCTAGAAGGGAACATCATTAACTTGATAGTCTATCAAAAAATGAAATAAAGTCCAACCCATAGCAATCACTATTCTTTTTTTTAAAAGATTTATTTATTTTTTTCATACAGAACTGGGGTACAGGCCAGAGATGTGGAGGGTGAGAAGATTCACAAGGGACAGAGTAGGGAGCAGAACAGGCAGATCAACGAAGTACACTGCTGAGGGGAGCAGCGGGCGGGTCAAGAGAGGTCTGCGCCATGTAGATCACCTCTTGGGCAGGCGGGGATCGAACTCACGAAGGAAGTGGCTTAAGCTTCTTAGTGCAGAGCATTAACCTGCTGTGCCACCTGGGAGGGCCAGCAATCACTATTCTTAAAGATGAAACATAAAATTAAACTCTTAATATCTGGGTAGAGTAAGAATGCGAGATAGCACTGCTTTTAGCCAACTATTTTTCTGGGAGAATGGCAATTAAAGTAAAATTAAAACCTCGTATTAAGATGGGAAAGGAAAAAATCGAGATCATTTGTGAGAACAGGCAAACTTATTGGGACGACTGTTTTTAAAGGTTTCTGATGGGACGCAAGTCACAAGAAATTGTTGTATGTCTGTAAACCTATAATGAAGATCTTGCACATGATTTTTAAAAAAAAAATAATATAATTGTTTATTTTTACATCATTTTGTGCATTTTTTCATCTCAGTTGTAATCCCCATGGGCTTCCCATCACCAAATCACCCGTGTGCCATCACCATAGTCCAGTGCATTTCCTTCCCCCCAATGTTTTTGATCCCATTCCCCACTCTACCCCCATAAAATGTCTCGGCTATGTAGCTGTTTATTATTATTATTATTTTCTCCCCTGGTCTGTTATACTCCTGCTGTGAGTGAAACCATCTGGTATTTTCCCTTTTCTTTCTGGCTTATCTCACTAAGCATGATCTTTTCCAGCTCCATCCATGTTGCTGCAAAAGGCATGTGTTTATTTTTTTTGGTTGCTGAGTAATATTCCATTGTGTATAGCACATGATTTTTTTTTTTTAAGATAGCACTTATAATAGCACTTAAAACTATATAAATTCAAGGAAAAAACTGCAAGAACTTTGTGGAAAAAATTCTAAAAGTTTCTTGAAAGACATTGGAAATCTAAGTAAATGGAGAGAGATGTCATCTTGATGGGAATACTCATTATTCTTAAGATATTTTAAATATCTTAAAGATATTGATTTTTCCCAATTAAAATTTATATCTGAATCTCAGCATAATTAGGTGGCTTATTTGTTGCTTTGTTTTAAAGTTTACTTATTGTTTCCTTTCCCTGATTTTTCATTGTTCCTTTCAGTTTTTCAAATATTTTGAAGGGAACCATCCTAATTCTCTCTACCATTTATCAGTAATATTTAACACAGAAGTCCCATTCTACTTACCTTATTAATAGCAATAATAACATAACAAATATGACCTTCTCAATCCTATTATCCCCACAGAAAAATACTTTTAGCAGGTCATTTTACTCTCTTCCATTTTATACACATTATACACACACCTATCACAATTCAAAAATCTGGAATCTCATCAGATTTTTGCTTAATAAATACCTGTATTGCACTTTACAATTATTTATGTGTGTGTGTGTTATGTTTGGCTAGACTATTTTTTTTTTTAAAGATTTATTTATTTACTTATGTGGGAGAACCCGGGTGGGTGTAGGCCACAGGTGAGAGGGTCAGAAGACTCACTAGATAGAACGGGAACTACTGCAATACACTGCTGAGGGAGCCAGGCCTACCAGCCAACATGTGAATTAGCTTCCTGGCCAGGCATTGAATTCAGGCCATAGCAGTGATAGTGCTGAAACTTACCCTCTAGGCCACCAGGGAGGCCCCTGCTTAGAATATTTCGTTGGCTAATACTTAAGAGTATGGGAACAATATACTCTCTGAGGCCTTGCAATCTGGAAATGTCTTTTTTTCTACTCAAGTACATGTACTTGAAGAGTACACAAGTATTCTTCTTTTGTAGGTAACTCCCTTGAAATTTGGCATTTTTTCTTTTATCTTTACAATTCAGGAATGTCCTCAGGATAAAAGAACTTCATATATTTCATAAAATTATACATGAACGTGTTCTTTGGAATTCAATTCAAAGTGCCACCAAGATTTGTTTTTAAAGGATGTTTTAAAAGTTATATAAGTATTATATGAATATGTTCTCTCAGCACAGAATTAAAATGATTACACAAAAGTACCTCTGACAAATCTCAACCCCAAGTCTCCCGAAAGTAACCTCTAAGTTTGATGTGAACTTTCTGGCTTTTTTCTAGGCATACATAAGAGTCATCATTTCAATACTTTTTTGTT